GTACCCCCAGCCTTGGCTTACTGAGAAAGAGAAAGAGCTCTCCTCTCAGATGCTGAAACCCGCCCCTCCCCCCCGTATTTTAAAAAGATTTATCTATCTTTATTTGACAGGCAAATTTACAGACAGGAGAGACAAAGAGAGAAAGAAGAGAGAGAGAGAGAGAGAGAGAGAGATCCTTCATCTGCTGGTTCACTCCCCAAATGGGCGCAACAGTTAGAGCTAGACCAAGCCAAAGCCAGGAGCCTGGAGATTCTTCTGGCTCTCTTATGTGGATGCATGGGTGCACCAACTTGGACTTTCCTTCGCTGCTTTTCTAGGCACATTAGCAGAGAGCTGGAACACAAACTGGTACTCATACGGAATGGTAAAACCACAGGCAGAGGTTTAACCTACTATGCATGGCCCCAGTCCCTTATTGGCTCATTTTTAAAAGTAGAGGGTGGTGTCTCTCCAAGTGTGAAGTCACCTGGGAATTTACTAGCACCTCCACAAGCTTCACATGCAGCTCAATATCCATATTTTCATGACCTCTTCCCTGCAAGAAGAAGATGTAATGCTAAAAAAGGGAGTGGTTTGAATGGCAAGTAGAAAGATAGAATTCCCTGGGATGAGGGAGGGGGGTGGCTTGCAAGTACTGCATCCAGCAGACCTATCTAGCTGTCTACCTATCTCGTAGCACCAGCACCAGGAGACGAGTCCTGGGGAGGTGCCCGTCCTCAGCTGTGATCCCAGTGCAGCAATCTCCGCCTGGAGTTTGGCAGTGGGTAAGGCTCTTTGAGACACCTGCAATGTCCAGCTGCTGTCTTGCTTGAGGCAGTAGCTGCTGGCCTGAGTTCATGCTGTGAGTCCAGTCTTGGGCAGTGCTGTCCAGTTTTGACTGGCACCTTCATCCTTTTGCTTTAGAAAAATGCCAAAGGCTGTGTCTTCTTCTCTGGCTTAAACTCACTCACAAACTCACTAGGGGTCTCTGGAATCCTCAGGAAGAAAACTCTACGGTCAATTGACATCAGAGGCTCTTTGCAACTTCCAGCCAGGCCACTTCCCCTGTCTGGATGGTCAGCAGAGGTGGTAGTTCCCCATTCTGCCTCTGGAATTGTGCAGCCTGGGCAACCAGATTCATTGTGTTGGAAGTTTGGGGTCAGCTTTAGAAACCCATCTCCCGAGTCTCATTCTGAGACAAGTGCCTTAAAATGTGTCCTGGGAGCCATGTTCTTAGCCAGTGGGAGCAGAAGAGGTCTTAAGACGGACCCAAGAGGAACCTTGCTAGTCGTCAGTTCAAATGTGTGGCCATGGTGAACAGCCTCTGCCACTTCCTTCAAGTTCTTGAGTAGGCATGAAAGAACTGAAGGACTTTACAGAATCTGTGGGGAAGTGTCTTGGAATCTTCTCGGGAAAGTTCTTCACAAGGAACACTGTGAGGAATGTGCAGTGATAAAACACCAGTGGCGGCTGGGAGTCTAGACCCTCCCATGTGCTTCTTGAAGAGCGGGTGAGGAAGGCCAGTAAATGCACCTGTTGGGTTTGTTCACATCCCCCTCCTCAACTAAGTATGTGTAGCTTTCCGGGTGAGAACTTCCTCTCCCTGGACCCTGAATGGTTTTACAAGACTAGATGCTGTGATCTCACTCACTGTCCAGAACAAAAGGGTGCTGCTGTCTGGGGAGAGGAGGCATGACTCCAGTGGGCAGGGTAGAGTCCTGGGCTGTAGGGGTCAGGCTCTCTGAAGCAGTGGTCAGACAGGAACTCTCACCTTGGAGGGAAGAGGGTCTGGTGATTTCTCTTGGGGCTTCACCCTCAATGAGTCAAGTGACCTTGAGCAATCATTGCACCTGTCTGAATCTGTTTCCTCATCTATCATGGCTGAACCATTCCCTTCCTGTCTCACTGACCTCAGTCAAATGATGGGTGTGTGTATACCAATAGGCAGCAGGGTGGGGCTGCTTCCAGGGAGATGAGAACAAGGAGGCAAGTTCTCAATAAGTTGCTTTTCTTTCTTTTTCCATGCTTCTGTTTGTTGGTGATTTTTCTTTTCTCCAACTGGAGTCTCAGCTCCAGGCTGCTCTGGCCTCCTAGGATACTCATGGCTTTGCAACCAAGAGCAAGAGCACCTGTCAGCATTAGTTGGAAAAAGTCCCAGAATCCACTGTCGTTGGGGAGGGTGTGGTGAGGGAAATGAGGATGGGGTGCTTTGATGAGTTCAGTTTGCCTTGTGTACCAACCACTGTAATTCACGGCCAAAAAGAACGCTATGATTGGGCCATCTAGGGAGTGAGCTCCTCCCTGGGCCCTGGGGGGAAATCGTAGTTGGGGCACCCCATTAGAACTAACTACTAGGCACTGAGCTTCCAGACATTAATTCTGTCATTTTGGTATCTTTATCTAACAGGCCTAGTTCAGTCAAGGTTTGGTAAACAACAGACACTTAATATGTATCTGCTGAATAGCCTTGGCAGTGAAATTTCTAAAAACCCCAAGGTCACTGGAGTTAATATACCTACCTGTGACCCTAATAGCACAGATCCTGTCATGAGGATCTGTTTAGTTCCTTGTTTTGACTTCCTGTTCCTCTAGGTACAGCCATGACTTCTCTGTGCTCCAAACTCAACTCCAAGTACATTCCTACTATTAGATTCTTTCAGTTGTTTGTTTTTGTTTGGCTGTTGCTGTTCCAATAGAACCCAGTGAAAATATTGCTTTTATCCAGTGCTAAGATATACTATATTTATGTTTGTATTGTCACTTCAAAAACAAGCATTTTTATCTTTAGTGTCGAACTTTGGAGTGAATGTCTCATGGTATTCACAATATTAATAAGTGTTTTATCTGCAGAAGAGTCAGTTTCCCAGGCTGTTCACTGAGCAGAGTGAACCATCATGGGCACTGGTTACTTCTGTCACAGAAGTGTCTGCTTTCACTCCTAGGAAGCTGAGCCCATTAAACTGCGTGCACAGTTCTACTCTGTAGTTTTACTACAATGGTGTCTGGTGAGCCTGGGAAAGTTTATTCTCAGCTTGTGCACAAGAAAACTTAAAACTGACAAAGTACACATTCAATTATGCCACTTGATCAGTTGCTGCCATGTGTGTTGAATCATGCATTCTAGCATCGTTTGATTCTAACAAATCTGGCCTCTTCAGAAATGTTGGAATCAGGCTGCATCTTGAGAAGACTAGTGCCTGGCTGCCTAAGTGTTGAGTGACACCATTACTGTTCCCCGGGTCAGTGGTACATACCATTAACCATGTTCTGTGTTACAGTTTCATCATTAACCTGCCTGTAAAAGAGAATGTCAAGATAGTTACACTTTACATTCTTGTATTCTTTTGATTTCTGCCAAATTCATGGCTCCCAAAAGGGCTTATTGAAAAAGAAAAAAAAAAGAATGAATGGAATAGCAAATGATATGGTAGTTGAATGTCCTTGTCACGTAGTAAGTTACAAAGCCATCACAGCAAGGCTCTTTATGAATTTTTTTGGTGTAGATGAGAGCTGGGTCACCGTGTCCCATATTAGTGTATCCAGGCTTTGTTCTCGGTGCTGGCTCCTGATTCCAGCTTCCCGTTGATGCAGACCCTGGAAGGGGAAGTACTAATGATGGCTGAAATGCTTGCTTTCCTGCCATCCATGTGGGAAACCTGGATTGAGTTCTTGGTTCTGGCTTCAGCTGGGGCTATGGTGGCCATTTGAGTGAACCAGGCTATTGGAGCTTTCTGTCTCCTTAACAACAGTGTAAATGCAGCAGCAGTAGTAGGTGGGTTGCTCATTAGACTTCTCAGGTCTAAGCACACCTGGCTGCATCATCAGCCTAGAGAAATAATTTTTGGGTGGGACTCTCCCTTAGGTCTTTCTGTGGCCAGGGTCTTTGGTGACAGTCCTCCATGGAGTTCCCTGACTCTTAGTTTCAGGCTGACCTCCAAAGGCAGGCCAACTCTTCCTGCAAATGCACCCAAGCATGCCTTAGATGAACTGGCCTGGGACACAGATGTGGCACACGAGAGCTAACCATGAGGAGATAATGGCATGGAGCACTGTGTAGCGACCTGTCTCATCATAGACATGGAACTAGGCATGCAGGTGCAGAGGCTGGCAGAGCAGGTGGCTGGCTTGGGAGGGCACAGCCTGGAGTAACTGCCTCACTGCCCTACTTCGGGGGGTGGCAGTCATCCAGCAAGCCGACTGTAGGAGAGGCCACTGTTTCCAGGATAGAGCCCAGAAATAAGATTTGAGAGGAATGACTAAGTTCCAGACCCAGTCTTTGGCTCCCTCGTGCATGACTTTGCCAAGATGCCAATCTTGAACCTTGAAACCTTAAAATCTTTGACATGGGAATAGCACAACCTGCTTTGGTCTCTCCCAGGATGTGACAGTGGGGAGGGGACCTTCAACATCAGCTCCATCCTCCTCCTCACCGACAGAAGAGACAGAAAGGCTACGGGCAGAGTCACACAGAATATCCTGCGTCTCAGATCTCCTGGATGACACTAACTTAAAACCTGCCTCAATCAACATAGGGTAATGTCTTTTGGAAGGACATTTCTCAGAGGGCAGTGGCTTGGGACTATCTGGAATGAGATTGGCATGCTGCAGGCAGTCCCATTGCAAAAAAAAAATCTCAAAAAAACAGAATCCCACAGTCCATTCACTCTGCTGGCAGAAACACTGTGCTAGCTAGAGCAGCTTGCTTGTTCCTTACCTGCAAGTTGTGTCTTCAGGGGGAACTTGGACTTCTCCAGCAAGTGGTATCCAACCCTCACCAAGAGAGAGCTCTCTGTTGCGCACAGGTGCACACCGTTCTATCCATCTGCATAAACATCCAGGGGGACTAGATTTTTAGGAAAGAGAAAACGGTTTCCAAAATAGAGACAAGTGGGCTTGGTTTGTCTTTATTTTTTTTAATCACTAGAAGTGTTTGCCTCTTGGGGCCCACCATGCATCCCTTCTCAGACCTGCAGGTGGCTCTTCCTCTATTGGCATCTTAGATGATGGACGGTCACCTGGGACCTTCTACTTCTTCCCTTTTGCTTTCTTCCCTTTGTTGGCTTTGTTGGGCTTCAGGGATTCATCTTGGCCAGGTTTGCTGGTGATTGGGGGAGGGAATGGGGTGGGAGCATTGAGTTGCAAGGATTTCTTCTGCAGCTTCAGGTCCAAAATATCAAAGGCAGTCTGAATCTCACACTGCAGCAGCTCCTGCAGGTACTCCATCTGGATGTGGAGGGCCTTACCGATGAGGTTCTCCAGCTCCTGGAAGACAAAGGAGCTGGCTGGTAACTGTGACTCTGGTGAAGTCTGCAAACAGAGACCGCGGCTCTGCCCCTGCTCTGTATGCAAGGTAACAGAGCCACTTCCACCCTTTGCCCACTCTGGACTCTGTGACACTGATTTCTCTCTTTAAAAAAAAGATTTATGTTTATTTTAAAGGCAGAATTATAGGGAGAAGAAAGGACAAAAACAGAAAGAAATCTTCCATACACTGGTTTAATTCCTAAATGGCCACGACAGCAGGAGCTGAGCTGACCCCAATCCAGGAATCAGGAGCTTCTTCCAAGTCTCCCACATAGGTGCAGGGGCCCAAGGACTTGACCCAGATACAATAGCAGGGACCTGAACTGAAAAATGGAGCAACCAGGACCCAAACTGGCTGTTATGTGGGATGCTACTGCCACAGGCAGAGGCTTATCTTGTTTTGTCACAACACTGATTTCCATGGGCTGCATTTACTGACTGCGTTGACCCTTGGCTTCTGGGAGGTCTGAGAGTGGAAGGAGAATGAGGTGCCTTATCTTCCTCCCGTCCAGCTGCAGGTTGGTCGTGCTTCATGTTCTTCTGATCCTCTCCTCCATGGCTGTGGCTTTTCACCCACGGCCACACTTTGGTCTCATTATCTTCTCCTCAGTAGTGAAGGCTCTCTTGTTTTTACCTCCCAGTAATCACTTCTTCCTCATTCCTCTTCAGGCCTAGCAGAGCAAAGATCATGCGATGGATCTGGAGAGGATAGCTGCCTGGGATGCATCTGTTACATTTGAGCAGGACCTGTCTCTCCAAACCTCATGTAGCCGTTTAAATTCTGGTGTCTTAAAAGTTGAAGTTGGGGACTGAGGGCCATGGTGATGACTAGTAGGTGGGGCTGGTGGGCAGTTTTGGGGGGCATGCTCTGGGAGGGTGGTTTTGGTGGGATATTTGGCGATATTTAAGTTCAAGCTCCAACTCATTGCTGTGGCGCATGGCATCCTGATCGCCATATAAGTATATCTTGGCACCTGCCATGTACAGCTTCCATCAGATGGCAGCCTTCGGGGCTTTGCCCAGTCCTGAACTGTAAACTCCAAATGGTAAGCGGAAATAAATTTCCTTTCTCCAAAGAAAGTGCCCTAGGGAACTTTAATTAAAGGATGAAAAGCAGATGAATACAGCATGTCTTTGTTCTCTAGTTGTTTTTTTTTTTAAAGAAAATCTTAGGCACAATTTGACAGTCACTTCAGAATATCATCCCTTGGCTGATATAAAAGTAGTGTTTTCCGTCTAGATCCTTGGGTAGTGCTCCCAGCTCAGGCACACCACCGGGGACACATAGTGGAAGGCTTGGGCTCTGGCTGTGCCAGGCAGGGCTTAGCAGCTGTGTGATGGAGGATGGAGGAGAAAAGAGGGAGGGGCAGGCAGGAGAGTGGATATAGGATATGTGCGGGGAGCAGGTATGGCAGGTGGGGAGCCCCCTCCCACTTTTGACCTAACCCACATGTTCCACAAGTCTCTTGCAGTGGACTGGAGACAGGTTGTTGCATGTGACTTCTGGGTCCTTGTTGGATGTCTTGATGCCCTAAGTATGCATGACATGTTGATGTGTTGTGCCTTTGGGGAATGAATCTCAAAGGATTCTCATCTGTTCCACTGTGTTAGCTGTTCTCTGGAGATTCTCATACTGAAATCTGTGACTATAGAATCAACTCCTTGTGGTCCACAGGGAATTAGTTCCTGGACCCTCACAGACACCATATCTGCAGATGCTCAAACCCCTCACGTTAGATGATATGGTATCTGTGTATATCTTATGTATACCCTTCTGCATACTTTGAATCACCTCTGGATAGCTTATGGTATAAAATACTATGAAAATAAATAGTTGTGTTACTGAATTGTTTAGGGAAGGACGACCAGAGAAAAAGTCTACATGTTCAGCACATGTGTAGAATTTTTTCCCAAATATTTTCAAAGATTTCCTTGAATGTGTGGATGCAGAATTCATGGATACTGAGTCCAGACTGTAATTGAACTTTAAAGGAATACTTCTTAAAGCCATTTCCTCTTCAACAGACAACTGTGGAACAAATAAACAATAGTCCAGGCATGCAGCAGTTGAGTCGCCACTCGGGACACTCCTATTCCACATTAGAATACTCATTTCTGCTAATGATCTAGTTTCTTGCTATTGCTTATTCTGGGAGGCAGTAGACAATGGCCCAAATACACAGGTCACTGCCACCCACATGTGGGGCCTAGACAGAGGTCTAGACTTCTGTGGGCTTTGGCTTGGATCAGCTCTGGCTATTGCAGGCATTTGAGGGGTGAACCAGTGGATGGAAGACGCCTGTCTCTCTCTCAAAAAAAGTGAAAACCAATCAATATTAGGTGACAGCAAATCCCTTTGGAACACCCAGGTCTCATCCCATGATTCTCCACCCCACTCCCAAAGCCCAGAACATGCACACCCACACATTTGCACACACATACATGTCTCAGCCACCAGCTCTACTAATCTCAGCCAAACCCTCAGTAAGTCAGTAGCCCTCAGCCTGTCTGGTCACTATTGGAGAGGAGCTAGCCACTGGAGGTGCTGGCTACAGGAGCCAGAGCAGTCTTCATAAACCACCAGTGGAGCAGGCTCGTCTCTCATAGCTACATGCCACATGGCTCTGGGACCTCCCTGGCCACCAGCCCTGCCTCCTTGCCTAGCTCCTCAAATCACCCCCTAGGCTGTGTCCCAGGTCTCTCTTTCCCCATCTCTCCTCTCCCAGGCCTTGATAGTTGCTGGTTCTGTGGGCCCACAAAATGTGCAGGGAGGCTGCAGCAGCTCTGAGCCTGGCCTGTTAATCCTACTTCTCTTGGAGGAATCTGTCACTGAGGAATGACACAGCAAACAGAACTGGAACTTTAGGATCCACCAGCCTTAGTCCACATATGAACTCTGCCGCACGCTAGAGTGGATGGGTGAGTGGATGCAGTTTTCTGAGTCCCAGTCATCCAGTCACTAAAATGGGAACATGCATTTTCTACCATGCAGGGATGCCACAAGACAGGGATGCACAGGGAGCCTGGGGGAGGCACTCAGCTCCTCCTGTGGGTGCTCCTCTTTCCTCCTCCCTATTGTGAACAGAACACAAGGACCTTTCTGGAAGTCACTCCAACCTGGGGCACTCACCTCTCTCCTAAGGAGCTGGCCAGGCTGGACAGGCATGTCCTCGAAGGCCTTCTGCAGCAGGTGTCCCCGCTCTAGTGTCATGGCCTCCTTCAGGAGCAGCATGTGGGTGCGCTTCTGCACCTCTGCCACCTGCAGCTCGGCCACCTGCTGCTCGTGCTTCCAGACCTCCCTGTCCACACCTGCAGCCAGGGGGAGGGGCGGGAGCGGCACACACACCTCCAGGTGGGTGACAGTCAGGTTGACTTCCTGGTCCTGGCCCAGGACGTACTGGAAGAGTCTATAATGGCGGATGAAGGTGTTGTGGAAGTAGTCACAGAGGGCCAGCAGGTGAGTGGTGTTGAACTGCCTCTGGTAGTCTCTTAGTTTGTCCCCCAGGATTGCCACCGCCTCGGTGATGGAGCAGCCTGGTGCAGGGTGTCAAGGGGGCAAGAAAGTGTTCATAATTAATCCAGCCTGCACCTAGGCAGTCTGACCCCAAAGCTTGTATCCTGGATATTCACTGGCTCTTGGAGGCTGTGGAGATGATCACATTTACCCTCCCATTTAAAAAAAAAAATTTTTTTTTACTATTTTAGTTGGATAATCTTTACATAATTGATTAGGGCACAAAGAGTCAAGGGCTACAGGAATGTGGGTAAGACCATTATTTCCACATTATTTTTTTTTTCCAGATCTGGGGTAAGGGGAGACATATAGGAAAAAGCCCCACCTAGCCTCCCACCCATCCCAAGGTCCCTGATGTGGGGCATGCTCCAAGGGTCCTGCTCAAGTGGTTTTGATAGTTCAACAGTTCTGAATTGCTGCCAATCTTGCCATTCCAAGCATGATGAAGTCGCTGCAGAATCCACTGGCTGACACAGTCCACCTTAGAGTCTCCAATAGCCCAGATTTTCACTGCCAGCACATGGCTGGGTAGATAACGATTTGTTCTGTCCTCCGTCCTATGTTGTGGTACCAGGTATCCTCTGCAGGTTCCTATAGACTGCTATATCCTCCATGTGCACTTGGATTTGCTGTCTACTGTTCTGTCTAAACCTCTGAGGAGGTTCAGCTTTGACACATGTACTCTATGGTCAGACCATAGAAACTACACTTCTCTTCATGGTTGGGGTTCCTAGATCAGTAATTCAGTTGGAGGGATCCCCAAAGAAACTTCATCTGAGGTGATTCCTGGGCTGATTCTGATGTGTGCATGCCAGTACAGGGTCTGGCATAGCCCGTCGCCCCGATCAGCTTATGCATATGTTAATGGTTGCAATTGCTTGGGTCATTTCTGTTTCCAGCCCTGTCTTCCACAAGAACCAATGGGTGTTGCAGTCCAGCCTGATTCTGCCCAGCATACACTCAGTCCTCACATAAACCAGTGGGAGCTGCAGCCTAGTCGGAGAGACTCCCAATAACCCCCACCAGGCCTGCGCCCTGCCCTGGTTCCTGTGCTTGCCAGTGTGTACAGCACACTGGTCCAGTCTGTCCCACATTCCCATTTAGCTCTCATACATGTCAATGGGGATTGAAGCACAGTTCAACCCAACCAGACCCACTATCCAGCCCACATACATGCTGCTGGGTGCCTTTCTGTCCAGCCAGGTCTACCCCAGTCCTGGTTTTCATGCTCTCCAGTGGGAGTGATAACCCAGGAGGGAGGTACCCACTATGTCACTCCTAGGCCCACTCCTGGATCATGCACTTTCCAGGTGGTTCTGCAATTTAACATGACAGAATTAGCCCCCAGTGCCAGCATCTGCCAGCTGATGCTGTGGCAAAGCCCAACCAACCCTCATTTACTCTGATTTATTGCTTGCACCAGTAGGGACAGTCCAACAAGCCTGGCTTTTCCCTGATCTAGCTCACATGAGGCCCACAGCTGTTGTAGCCCTGCCTGGTCTGATCTGCCCCCATCCCAACTCAGGCTCTCCAGTGTGTGAGGTGTTCTAGCAGGGGCCCCTCCATATTCCCCCTACCAGCGTTACCCCCTCCCTCCCTGGTTCCTACATGTGCTGATTGGTACCATGGCCTGGTCTGGTATGGCCTGCCTCACCTCAGCTTTTGCCAGTGGGTGCTGTAGCCTGGCCCAGCCTGGCCCACCCCCACCTCCAGCTCAGGTGGTGGAGACGAAAGCCTAGCCCAGTCCAGCCAGCACCCAGTACTGCTATGTGTTGCAACCGGACCCAGCCTGACCCAGACTCCATTCTGGTGCTCAGATTTGCCAGTGGTTGATGTCAACTGGCTCTGCCTGGTTTGCCCCTGACTTGGGCCAAATGTATGCTGCTGACATTTACCCCTTTTTGCATTGGCTATCAGGAAGCTCAGAATTCATTTTATAGAGTAACTTACACTTACCTTGTTCTTTCTCCTTTGATTATCCTACTCTTTACCTGGTTTTGACTTTTAACTTCTGTTTGTAAGACTTAACTTTACCCTTGCTTTATGTTATTTTCATGTTATTTTCCTTAGGAAGATGAAATCAAGAGAAGGGAATTCTGATGGGTGTGAGGCAAGGGGTGAGCACATGCCTTGGGAAGAAGTGGCATTCTCTGGGGTGGGAGAGTCCAAGGGCTGTCTGGAGGAGGTGGGCAAGGTCAGAGGAGTTTCCTGGGAAGAGAAAGGTGGAGAAGAGGGATGCAGGTCGGCCGGGGGAGGTGGGGCATAATGTGTGGCCAGGGAGGCTTGAGGGGAGAGAAGGTGCTAAACAAGCCAGAGACGAGGAGGTGAGGGTTGGAGTGGGCAGTCCCAAGGATGTCCTGCCCCACAGAAGAGTCCGTGCTGCTGGCACCACCCTCCCCCGGGCACTCTTACGCACAGGCGCCTGGCCCCATGACCCCGGTAGTCTCTCTCCAGAGCCCTTATGTGATCTTGTATCTCAAGGATGTCATTTCTAGGTCTCATCCTCTTCCTCTCATGAAAGCTGGAAGAGCACTCAGCTTTTTTAAAAATTATTTTTAAGATTTATTTTTATTGGAAAGGCAGATATACAGAGAGGAGGAGAGACAGAGAGAAAGATCTTCTGTCTGATGATTCACTCCCCAAGTGGCCTCAATGGCTGGAGCTGAGCTGATCTGAAACCATGAGCTTCTTCTGGGTCTCCCACAGCGGTTCAGTGTCCCAAGGCTTTGGGCCATCCTCTACTGCTTTCCTAGGCCACAAGCAGGGAGCTGAATGGGAAGCGGGGCTGCCAGGATTAGAATCAGTGCCCATATGGGATGCTGGCACATGCAAGGTGAGGACTTTAGCTGCTAGGCTACTGTGCTGGGCCCAGAGCACTGAGCTTTGTTGCTTGCTTGCTGCTGTTGTCTGGCACGCAGCAGACCTGCCACAGATGGGGAGACTTACTGAATGAACACGAGTGAATAGGTGGGTCGTGGAGGGAGTCTTCACTCCAAACACATTATTTAGCAAGCATTGCTAGTAACACATGTAGCCATGGCTTCTGGACAGGGACCTGACTGTGGAAGCTGCCAGGTGGGCAGAGCAAGTGTGGGAGGTCAGGCCAGAGAGGCATCTTAGGGCAGGGAAGGGAGTGATGCCAGGTGTCAGGGAAGAGACCGTGGCAGCAGCAGGAGGCTGTGTGGGAAGGAATGGCTGAGGACTTGGGTCAGCTGGTGGCAGGCTCCTGGCCTGGCCTCATATACACCTGGGATGATGAAGGCCACCTGCTCCCAGTGCCTGGCGGTCCTTCCTGTCCTACTGTCTACTAGAGTTGAGTGCCGGAGTGTGTTAAGTCTTTCCACCCCAAAACTGTCCGGTGATTGGCCAGAGCTTCCCAGTGGGCTCTGTGAGGACAGCAAGTGAGCCAGCGCTTCATGACCTTGATGTGGGGGATGCTGGCCTGTGTTCCAGAAACTGGGCACCCTATGCTTCCTTGCTACTACTTGTCTCATCTGAGTGACTCTGGGCAAGTGGCTCAAAATCTGTGGGCCGCACTTTCGCATCCTGCAGTGGGTTCCCTCATGCTCCCTGGGAAACAGCTCAACACAGCAGACATTGATTTTCTGGGTACAGAAAATCTTAGCACGATGGCCCCTCAATCCTACCCGGTAGCCTCATAGTCCTCAATGCCCTGCAAAGCAAACACATCTATGTCTCCCTTGAGTTTTCATTGTCATGTTGCCTGTGTTCCAGAAACTTGTGGGGAGGTGTGTTGGCCTAGTTGGAGCCTCAGACTGTGTCCCTAAATCCAGAATCACCAGGAGTTTTCTAAAAACACAGATCCCCTGGTTAGCAGCTTAAGCTATCATCTGCAAATACTGGCATCTCCAGTGATTGCTGATTGGTATTCTGTCTGTTCCACTTCTGATCTAGCTCTCTGCTAATGTGCCAGGGAAAACAGCAGAGGATGGCCCGAGTACTTGGGTTCCTGTGCCCATGTGGGACATCTGGAAAAAGCTCCTGGCTCCAAGCTTTGGCTTGGCCCAGCCTTGGCCATTGCACCTATTTGGGGAATGAACCAGCAGGTGGATGATCTCCTCTCTGTCTTTCAAATAAACGAAACAAATCTTAAACACACACGCATCCAATTGTCTCGTGAAAACAAGCAATGGCTCTCAGAGTAGGGTCAAGTTGGGATTTGCTGCTGCATCACTTGGATCAGAGTTGGGAGCCAGACTGAACCAGGGGAGCTCAGTGACTGCCGCAGAGACTGACAAAGTCAATGCCCCCGGGTGGATGGCTCTGCCGGGTGATTGGCCCACACCTGCTTCTCCCTTCCCCCTCACCCCTGATCTGGGCTGCTGGCTCTTTTTCTGCACAGGTGTGAGCTTCCTGTTGCCTGAAATCAGTGGGCGGAGAGACAATTCCCAGACCTCGCAGTGTCGCCTTCTTCTTGTTAATGGCATCACTACTACCTTTCACAGATGCCCATAAAGTATCACCTGAGAGTGTCCAGGCAGGTGGCAAAACTGGATACTGATGTAGCGAGGAGGCCTAGTGTGAAGCATGATGAGACAGGGAAGGTGCAGACATGGGGAGACCATGGGACCCTAGGTGCTCAGGGCAAGGAAGGGAGGTTTTCTGCAACCAGAGATGCTAGAAGCACAGTGCAGATGAATGAGGAGTTTGGCAGAGGATGGTGGGAAAGATGCCTGAGGCTCAGCGAGAGCAGGGATGAGGGCTGGAGCTGGGCCAAGCACAGTGGGGCTGTTGTGTGCACAGGACCACTGCCAGCTCAGAGCTCCAGGGAGACAGAGCTGGGGGACCTGGAGGGTCAGGGCTCAGTTTGGGGACAGTTTAGTCAGAGAAATTCAGGAAGGGGCCCTGACCTCATCAGGGAACCTGAAGCCCTCCAAGGATAGGGTATAGGAGGGGCTGGGCTCCTCCAAAAGCACATCCAGATTTTTGCTTGCATGTTTTCTCCCCTAGGTTGAGGCTACCTAGAAAGCTATAACAACAACAGAGAGCAGCAGAGCCC